CCCCCCCCCCCCCCCCCAACACGCCTCTCTCCATGTCGACGTGTCCGTAATTTCGCCGCGTGCTGCCGCCCTTGCCCAGCGCACCGAGCACACGGACATCGTAGAGGCGAAACCCCCCCCCCAACACCAAGTATGTCTTTCGTAGGCCACTGCTAACCCTCGTTTTATTGTACTGTATCTATCCGTCGCGTGTCATTTGTCAGGTTTCCAGCCCTCCGTGATGGTGGGCAGCGCCGGTGCCGCGGAGGTGGCGCAGGCGCAGTTCCGCGCCCTGGACGTTTTCATCGTCCAGGCCAACACCAACACATTGCTCAGCCACTTCTGCTCGCTGGCGGCGTCCCTGTGGCTGCTTGCGAGGACGCCGAAGCTGGCCAAGCTGGCCAAGAGCGGCTGAAGTTTTGTTTGGCTGCGGCGCAAGTTTGTTGATGTCGTCGTTAAATAGTGGTCGTAGCGAGCAAGCGTCCGCTCGTGACACACCCGCTGCTGTCTCCCTTCGCCATATTGGTAGGATTTCCTCACGGCAGTATCAAGAGCACACCTTTAAGTGGCGTGGTGGGGGCGGTGGTGAAATGAATCGATTTTGGATGTCGGCTGTGAAAAGTTGATTGGTTTAATCGCTTTAGTCACGTTTTCGTGTTCCAGCCTGTTTGGCCAGCCGTCGGTGTTCGGTGGAGTGTAGCAGAGGTTGGGAAATGTTTCGGGGCGTGATTAAATCTCCTGTTTTTGGTCTGTATGATATCGTATACTGCAGTTCATTTATGTCTTTTACCGACGAAGAATGAAGACGTGTTGTGAGATTCTGAACGAGCGTCTACCCCGCCTGCAACGCCAAATGGATATGTAGTTTGTACAATAATAATTGTCATCCTTTTCGTGGGGTTCGCGGAATGTTTGGTTTTGTTCCGGTTTGGGACTGGGAAATACTCCCATATCTGCCGGGATCCTACCTGTATTTATAGGAGGGGGCTCGTAGTGTTGTTGATGACCGCTACAAAACCCCTCCATCGCTTCAGGTCCGTCTGCAGTCCTTTCGTGTTTCCATTTTCTTTTTTGGCGTTAAACGCGGCAAGGTTTTCTTCCTCCAGCTTGTGTGTTTCGTGCATGCACGCCCCCCGCCCTTTTCCTATCGCTTGGGCTTTGTTACCTCTTCTTGCACGAGGCTTGCTCCTATCGGTTTGGAAGTAGGGGAGTCAACGTATGGTTTGGAATGTGTGCCACAGTATATGCAAAAGCCAAATCATGTTTTTTGTTTGCATCCTCGTTCGTGCGATTTTTGTGGCTGTGACAGCTGGTACAGTATGCGCTGGAGTTATATCTATTTTCCAGTATAATACTACATCTCGCCCGTGAGGCTTTCTCTGTGTACAATTGGAGTCTACATCACGGGGCCACTGGGTGCCCGTGCAGTGCGAAACAAGGGCGAGACACTTTGTTTAGACTTCTCGGTAGAAAAAAAATCGGGTTCGTGGCCACTGCTGTGCTTCTTCTGTATGCGCGCAGCATAGAGGGTAGTTTGCGGGCAAACGCACACGGAGGGGCGGTCGCAGCCAAGGATATTACGACCGGCGAGCCCAACATTATATAGTCTACATGCAGTAGCCGCCGTGAGAGAGCAACATCTAGGTAACTAACTCCCCTTGGGTTCTTTCCGATGTACCCAAAATATAAGCAAGAGAACGAAGTACACTAATGACTGATTGGCATGTACTTAGTAGAAGCTTGTGTCATCTTGACTTGTAGGCTTTATCCTTTCCTTCTCTGCCGACGAGCCATGGTAGGTTTCACACGCGGGAGATTTCCCTGCACGATTTCAATTTATGTGTTCATACAATTACGAGAAAGGATCTACCCAATCGTCGCACTCTGGCAACACTCACAATACGATTGCCTTCCGACACAACGTGTCGCGCCGTGATGAAATCTAGAATCGCGGCGTGGAACATTCAAAGGCTCCCAGAATCCCAGGATATACTCTTGACTACAGTCAAATGTAGACACCACGGGAGGAGCGACCGGCCACCCTCAAAATGGTCGAATACGGCCACACATACATGTGCTCTACTACTTTCATGCGAAGACGACAAAACAGCAACAACAGTCAACAACAGTGATATCTCGACCAACTCACATCGATGTTGTAGACCGCGACCCGCGCGCGCCTTTTTTTTTTTTACCGATGCAGAGTCAAACGTGATTTGCGCGACCGATGCAGCACGTATGGTCTTCACACTACTGCTGTGCATACAGACAGTCGGTCGCAATGTAGGGTTGGAAAGGCAATGAGCGTAACTCGCTTCTACGATGGCGGGCGGGACAGCTTTCTCGCACGATTCACGTCGAAGCCTCCGTCCAAGTTCGACTCGATCGAGCATCTCGAGCGCGATGTGCACTATAAATCTTTCTTTGCTTTCGAGAGTTCGACGACGGAAAGGGCTTCCGGTGGCGAAGACAAACACAGAGGAATCTCTGCTGCAGTGATCACCGGGGGGGGAAACACCGCAAGGAGTACGAATGACAGCAATAGCGTGAGTGCCGCCAGTAGCGTCGCAACAACCACAGGAGCTTGGAGCTGGGGTGATGGCAACAACAGCCACGCGAACACTGAAGTGACACAGGGCGTACGCTCTTCTTGGAAAGCTGAGGTATCAGGCAAGAGGGTCTGTACGGCTCCACCACCACCATCATCGCAATCATCATCATCATCTCACAGCAAGAAGTTTTTCTGGGGACCCAAGGTTGCTCGCAAGAGAGAGGAGGCTGAGCGAGATATCCGGAGAACGAATCAGGGAGACCCGGCGACGTTTGCGTTGTGCGTAAGCGCATTTAGAGACCATATTACGAAAGACGAAGCTGTCTTTGATTGAATGAATCGTTTGTCCTGTCAAGGAGCACACGCATGCATGCACGTTTCGCACCGTCATTGTCGAAGACGGCGGACAGTCTCATGAGACGGTTGCACAATGCATTCGACGAGTACATTGTATAGTTTTGACCGTGACACGTTAGTCGTGTTGTTATGCAAGGTCCTTCAATCCCTGGTCGGAGAGAACAAAGTCACTACTTACATGACATATTACGTATGTATGTACCTCTTGCAACACATTTAACACATTTACGTGCAATTGATACAGTCTATGTGATAAGATTCTCTGTCGCTGTAGTACATGTACGACATATATTTGTCAGTTGCTTGAAATGAAGGGGTCTTGAGCGCTACCCGCACATTACGTTTCTAGAGAGGTTCTCGCCCAACATCTTTGCATCCTAAAATGCACATTGAGCATGAGGCCTCACTGAGCTACAGTAGACGAGGGTAGTCTCCAAAAAGCGTGTCGTAAATTTTTCCAGCATTTGACACAGCAACATATATGCTCGTTGAGTACTAAGTGACACACATACGTATCTGCACATGACCTGCATTCCAACCGTTTAAAAAATTTACGTTGCACATGCTTGGCACGCGCTTCACTGTTCAACATTGAAACGCCAGGGCGGTGGACGAATGTCCTTCCACGGTGTCCACCATTCGCTCGCTTGTGCCTCGGAGGTTCCACTCGACGGAGGCTTTTGGCGAAGGCGATTCGTCTACGATCACCGGTGGCCCCAGAAGCGCCTACGAAGGGTTAGAGCCCTTTATCCGCGCGTCCATCACCGATCGCATTCACGACGGCATCTACGAGACGGACATCGGTCACAAGTCCACTCTCGGTAGTCGGGTCAAGCGCGGGGAAATCCGCTGCCCGAAAATGTATCGCTACGGGAAGCGATTCGCCGACAATGCCGCGGGCCCAGAACGGCAGCAGGTATCACGATGCAAAAAAGAGGGCTCCGATCAACGTGCTTCGTTGCTTCTCTTGTTTGCTACGGTAGCACCATGTGTAGTTATTCGCACAGGGGAACTATTCGCGTAACGTCGAGAGATGACCCCCCCCCCCCCCGGCAGCCGAAAGGAACGATTGGCCATCGGTGGTCGGTCCTGTGGGAACAATGCTCCGTCCTCACGAGGACGCGTCGACAATAGTCTAACCGCTAAGGCATGCAAAACATATGAGTACGCCCCCACCCCCCCACCCCCCCGCAGCCGTTCAAGTCGAAGTCACGTAGTTGGGGTGGTAAACTATTTAGGGATGAAACGAGCATCCCAGGAATGGTATAGGGATGTACAGCAGGTGGATTTGAAGTTATGACCCGTGCAAAGTAGTAGTGGGATACCTCGCAAATACCCAACACAGGGGAAAGAGGCACACCCTGCCTGGCTGTGTTTGGCATAGAGAGCACCTACATAGTATCGGTGGTAGATCTATTTGCAGTAGTGGTGAATCCCGAAAGGAGTGGATGGTCAATGGTGGCTATGGCAGGTGGGCCACTTTCCATCTGCCCCCACCCTCTCTTGCCTCCGGTCCACGAACGAATGTGTTTCTGTCCCCATCGATTTCTTCATACAGCTCATGGGCCCGGGATACTACGATACGTCTCCGGGCATCGACGCTACGTCCACATCTTCGACGATCTTGCCGCTTCCACGTGAGAAGTGCAACTACGATTCCTATATTCGACGTGGGTTAGGACAAACAACAGGTTCTGCGATAGGACCTGGGCAGTACGAAGCGAGGCCGGTGACCTCGACAGGGTCGGGACGGCAGGAATTCTCGACCATCGTGAGGTACTGCTGGACCCCCGTGTGTCATTGTTGGTCTAACGTGTGAGCGCGGGTTAATTGTCCGCTTTTCCGAGCCCCACACCAGGCTTCTTTTTTATTCACTCTATCGCGGTCTCCGTTCCATATTCCCACGGTTTTTCGGGAAGAAGTCACGGCTTATCTCATCACCCCGGTTGTCGTCGGTGATAATCTGCACATCCACTTCGCCGAGGCCCGCCGCATGTGTGTTCCGTTCTGCTTGGGTGCGTAGGGAAGTTCCTTTGTTTTCCTTGGCGTACCTTTGGCGCTGGGCAGACTTCTCCCGGCAGCGATCACGTGTGAAGGCAACAATCACGAATAATGTCGGTTCGACCCTCCACCCCGATGTGCCTCCCTACAAGGTGGACCAAAGAGCCGTCAAGCAGGGCGTCGCCCAACCAGGGACCCTGGGACGATGTGGAAGACGCGTGGGGTCGAGGGGGCTACATCGAGCGTGCCGTCCCCCGGGAATGCAAGTCGTACCTACCCCAGGAGATTCTACGATACATGACTCGCCTAGAACTTGACCAGTTCGGCAAAGAATCTTTTGCCACGGCGGTGCGACGACACCCGAAGAGGTGGGTCGATGTAGAATAAGCGGTGACAGGGCAGGGAATCGGGAGGGAGATCCGGATATGCTCGGTTTTGTTTGCTTGTTGATTGGCCTGTGAAAAAAAATCTCGTCACGAAAGATAGGACAAGCGGGAGTGCTAGATTTTGGGGATCAATCAACTTGGGAAACGGATGGTGAAAAACACGACCATTGTGGAAGCATTGCTGAGCTGGTATACAGCCGATGGCGTCAAGCTAACGTTACTGCCGTGGTCACGGCACCAAGAAGCCGGTCTCGCACAAGAGTTCCAGGGAGAAATATTCAACTAACTGTGCACGTAGAGAATAACCACCGACTCTTGCCTTGTCAGTTTGTCTACTCGCCGCCCTTCTCAAGCCTGTTGTATTCCCGGCCAAATAGCAACATACCGGCCGACGAAGCCATTTCTCTGTTGACATTCAATTGATTCTTCTCCCCCCGTGACACTCCGTATGCAAACAAACGTAACAACAGGTATGCGGCGAGTTTCAGCAACACTCAGGAACCCAACTGGCGTGTCAACGGAAACCCCAACCTGGGGCCGGGCACCTACGCCGTCGAACTTGCCGAGAGCCTCACTCTTCCCGCGCCGCAGGGAGGAGCCGGGGATGCCGATCCGGCCCGGCCGTCCATCCCCTTCCGCGTCCGCCGCACGCCGTTCGATACCCGGCGCCTCGCTGACGGCTACAAGACTCTCAAACCGCGGTTCTCCACCCCACGCACTGCCCTCTACTCGTCGGAGCTGCCCAGAGGAACTGCTGGGGTGGCTTCTGATCCGCCAGACCCCCCCTCCACGACCATGGGTGAACGAAAGGCAGGCGGGACGATCCGAACTGGGGCAGTATGCCGGAAACGCCTATCGCCGGCTGCTAAGGTTCGATTATCGCTAGATGTTTTTCACGGGTCTGGAGCGGCGTATATCTTTCCCGCTGGTAGCTCCTTCAAGCCCCAACGGGATAGGGTTCGTTCGAACCCCGCCCAGGCCAGACAAAATCCCGTTTTGCCTTGATATTGGTGAGTGGTACCTAACACGATGAGCGTAGGTGGGTAACGTTGCCCCCCCCCACCCCCCCCAGTACTTCATTCATAGATAGGTCACGTGCAGCATATTTCCTCTTCGCGAATCCTTTCAGGCGGCAGCAGCAACGGCGGCGGCTGCGGCAGACCCGTGGAGGGTTGGGGGACGAGGCAGCCGGTTCGTGCGCCTCGAGCGTCCTTCCGTGATAGATCCGGTGCGCGATGGCTCTCGGCGGCGCGCGGCGGCATCAACTTGGAATAGTTCACGTTATCGTCAGCCTAGGAGAGAAGCTGGTGTACTTTAGACTGTAGGGTTCTTCACTTCAGTTTAAAAGAACGGTCAAGTATCGGCGCGGCCGATGGTGTGTCTATTCCCGTCTTCTTATTACCAGAGGTGGCATGTCATAATTTACATTGACGTGTCAACCACTGCTTGAAATTTTGAATTGTACGGAAAATACATGAATGGGCGGGATGTGTGAAATCGCGTCCAGGTGTCGTACTACGTCGGGTTTGGTGCACAGTCGACTAGGGAAAGCGCGCCCCCACAATGGACGCACCAGCGCAGAGGTACGGCATGTCACCTTTCAAACCCGCGTCCATGCACAGCACTCTGCAGTCGTTATTGGCAACTTGTTTGTGGTGGTACTGCGTATCTCGACCCACCCGACGCTACTCCAGCCGTAGGCTATTTTACTTTTGTAGCGGTTGTTTCGGGGTGAAGGGATGGATATTTGTTGCAGTATTCAGGACTACATAACTCGTCATTTTCAAGGTATTTTAACGAAGAGAGGGGGGGCAAGCGTGCGGGTTGGAGCTGTAGCGATCGCCAAGGTTTGGAGTAGTTAGTACTTCCGGAATTACGATATTTTAGACAATAGACTACTGCTGTTCATCCGTGGAGGGTGGAGGGTGAATGAGCCAAACGTTTTCGAGGCAGGAGTGAAGATTCGGGGCAGAGTGCTTACTGTCTTGGAGTATGTATGTATGAATGAACATCAGAAAGGCGATGTTCTGCGATTTGACTGAAGATTACATACAGTAGATTTTACCATAGCGTATCATCAATTGAACCGTGTTCTATAGTGTTTTTTGTTTCACTCACTCACGCCTTACAAGGTGTGGTGCACGTATGTGTTACAGAACCATTTCATGTACACCGATAAGTAAAAAAAAAATCGTTCATAGCGTGTGCAAGTGTATCGAAAGCGTGTCAGCCCTTGATTGACAACATCAAGAGGGTCAACACAGGTCCACGAACGACAGGCGGCATAGAAAAAGATAATAGGAGAACCCGTGTCCTCTGCTTGGATCAGTTCGTTGGACACGTATCGTTCAGCAGCACTTCTCTGTATATTCACGTGTTTTCGTCCCGTCTATTGTGGGCGCCAGTCTACACCTTTCGGTCTATGTTTGTATGTTTGGCGTTTGGCGCACCGGCCGGGTCAGACAGAGGACAGCGGGAAGAAAACTCTGATGTACTCCTGTAGTCTAGTCTAGTCCACACACAAAAAAAAAAATCCCACTGGCTTCGCACCAATCAAACCAAAGCTCTGAGGTTGTCATGCGTACTCCAATACGGTGGTACAGCTGTGGGTGACCAATCGCTTAGCCGAAACGTATACGTGTGTTCTCTGGCTTGAGAACCAATGGATCAGAGCACGGAAGCAGCACTCTCGATCTACTTCTGGCGAGATCCGGACGGAGCGACTGGAAGGCAGGAGAGATCCGGGGACATAAAAATATCGTAAGAAAGCCAAACAAAGTCTCTACGTGCGCCTTGTATACATCACATTTGCGCTGCAGCGGCCTTGATCACTCACCCCTGCATCGCGCCATCATCTTCTATTGCGGCGCACAGGTGAATCCGTCGCACCGCGCGTGTCCCAATCAGCTTGTGTTGTGTGGACGCGAACACATGATCCAACCTCTCTCTGTACTCGTGGGTCCTGTTGCCTTTCTTTGTACAGCAGTAGAGAGATTTCAGGGACACCCACCCCGCGGGGGGCACGGGGGCACCCACCGCCTCTACGCGTACATGGATCCTTGTCTCACTTACACCGGAATCGTCAGGAAATGGACGCATATCGTGTTGTTTCTGCGTGAGACGTGGTCGATGATCGGATTTCCTCTAGTCCTGGCGGTATTTTTTGTCGGCACCGGCACTGCCTACAGCAGCCACACTCTCTGTGCTGTGCGTAAACTTGTGAGTCGCTCACGGATTTCAATATCCAAAGGGTTGATCGCAAGAAGTATCAATGTTGAGAGTTTGAAGGGAAGCGAGGCCAGTAAGTGTTGCTTGTTTGGGTGTGCTTGTTTGGGTGCGTGTGGAACCGGTTTGGCTTGGTTCGTAATTGTGAATGGCCCCGAGGCTAGCAAGCAAAATCCCGCCGCAACGTGAATATATCGAAAATATCGTCATATCCACGATCCGTCTGTACACATGCCGTGCGTCGTAGGGGTTCGCACGGAGCTGAGGCAATGCAGCTACTCTCGCAAACCGCAGCAACCTCCTCTCGTGTCCTCCAGTGTTGGAGATTTCGAGCGTCTTTGGTTTCGACACAAGTTTATCGTTTTCGGTGCCCCTCGTGTGCTACTTCTTGCGCTACTAGGGGGCTCGGTCGACGCGAGGCGAGACGAGATTACAGCGAAGACCGGGCAGCAGTTTTTCCTCAGTGCTCACTCAAACAACGAAACGGGTCTACGGTCGCAAGAGAAAGTAGCTATTATAGACCCTCGTTTGTGTGGTTAGAGGTACTTCAACTTCCCAAGCGAAGGCGAGAGACGATGGAGAAGCCGCCGAGCTCGTCGAGGCCGGCGGCCCTCGCGCGTGGCGCCAACAGCGACGATAGCATTAGGAACAACGTCAAAGGCCACGAAAGAAGTACCGATGACAGCAGCAGCGACAGCGGCAGCGATAGCAGCAGCAGCAGCAGCAGCAGCGGCGGTGACTCCGACGACTCCGGCGACGGCGAAAGCCAAACCGCGAGCAACAACAACGCCGCCGCCGCGACGAACACCGCCGACAGCAGCAATAGCTCATCGGGCGAAGCCGCCGCCGCCGCCGACCCGGCCGTCCCTGATTCCCTCCAAGCGGGCGACCCTAACGGCCACCCGCTAGACCAGGGCGGCTGCTTTGTGTGCAAGAAGAACGACAAGCAGGACCTCATCCTCCTGTGCGACGGCTGCGAAGGCGAGTACCACACCTTCTGCGTGGACCCCCCCCTCCGCAAGATCCCCGACGACGAGTGGTTCTGCGCGCACTGCAAGGCCACCGGCAAGGCAGGGCCGAAGGAATCCAAGTACGCATCGTTTCCCCCCGTAGGGTGCTGTGTGTCGCTGGCGGTTTCTAGTACTCTTTTGTTGGGGGCCTCCCCCTCTGTCGACTTGAGCCTTCTCCGTTCGGGACAATCGTACAGCAATAGGACCCGCACGGTAATCCTACGAAAGACTGCTGCTGCGCTAGATTTTCCCGCCCGATTCAAGTCCTGTTTCACATGGACAAGTTCAAGGCTCAATAGCAATGTTCACGTCATGTAACATTTTCAAGGAACGGCTTGACCCAGGCCTGATGGCCCAAATAGCAGGCGAATAGAAAGTGTGTTCGTTTTAACAACAGTGTATGCAACGAGTTCCCCCCGGGGTCTGTATGTCACCCTCCCATTCCTGCTGGGCAGGTATACCGGCGTCTACTGGAGCGGCACGACCAGGATCGGCGGTGTCCGCACAGTTGTGTGGACGGCCAAGATCCGCAGACGGTCTGGCCGCCGCGAGGCGATCATCGGCTCGTACCATTCCGAGAAGGTGAAGGAAGCCACGCTCTCCTCCTTCCGCGCACGCGTAACTTGACGGCCCCGTGAATGAAAGTGGTGTCAGCACCGTTACGCGTGACTGTGAGCCTATTGCCGGCGGTTGGTTTCGGGACACAGCACCGGAGTTCCCGCCACGCAAGGGCATGGCTGGCTACGCGCGTACCTTGCAGCATTTGTCTTGCACGGAGCCTATCGGTCGATCGTCGATTCAAGAAGGAGAAAATCGCCGTTCTTCTGTCCTTTTCGTGAGCGACTGTTGTGGCTCGTACTTATTTGGTTGTCCCCTCTTCGTGGGACGATGTGTTTTTTGCGCTAAGTCCTTCGTGTGTGTGTGTTGCGCTTACAGGAGGCTGCCGGAGCCTACGACGCCGAGGCGAAAAGGGTTTTTGGTGACACCCACCCCGTGCTTAACTTCCCGGTAAGCAGCACTCGGAGAGCTTTGTCTCGACTTGATCCGCGGAGAGCTGCTGCTGTTGCAGCAATTGGTCTATATATTCTTTGTAGCTCACGCTATCTCGTTTTTGCAGATGAAACAGTTTATTTTATACAAAGCGCCGGCGATACGCATTAATTAGAGACATGGCAGTATGGAAGTTTTTTCATACATGGCGCAGGCGATTCGCATTAGCGACTGTAAGTTCATCTTGTCCGTGCAGGCGTCGCTGGGTGAGACCACAGCGCGCTCTTCATTCCCTCCCTCTATCGCTAAACTGCTGCGTGTTATTGTACCTAACCCAACGCTCCCGCTGGCGGACTCGTGCACACCGCGCCGTTGGCCCGGACGGGCGTTTCACGTTTCTTTCCGGCCCGCTCGCGCTCTTTTGGTCTGCGCTGAATTCCTTCTTGTGGTCTCTTTGTAGAACGGTAGCTGGGAGGATGAGCCGGACGAGCCCGAGGGACCGAGCCAGCCGCAAAAGGCCGAGGAGAAGAAGCCACAACAGCTGAAACAGTCACAGCCGGGCTTGCAGCAGCCGAAGCAGCCACGGCCGGTCGCACAGCAGCTGAAACAGCCCGAACAGCAGTCGAAACAGCCCAAACAGCCACGCGAGGTCGAACAGCCTGCCAAGCAGCAGCCTGCTAAGCAGCAGCGGGCCGAGCGGCCGGTGGCAGTCGCGCCGCCGCCGCCGGTCGAGACGCGGCCCCCCTCGCGAAAAGAGACGGCGGCGCCGATCAAGACGAGCCAGGCGGTACCCCCACTGAGGCCTCCTGTGATCAGCGGGCACTACCCCGGTGCCGGACAAGGTCCAGAAGGCAGCGACGCCTGGGTCGACATCAGCGACGTCGGCGGCCAGGGCACCAGCACGTCTCGTGCGCGAGGAGGAGGAGGAGGAGCAGGAGCTGGCGGCGGGAGTAGCGGCCTTGCGTCCGTCATCTTCAACGCGTCCGCGGGTGCCGGCGTTGGAACCTCTCAGAGGGCAAGCTCGGCGGGAGCGGGAAACGGCGTGTTGCGCGCGATGGGACCGCCCCCAGCAGGAATGCTCGGCAGCGCCGGAGCGGCTTCCGGGTACTTGGCGGCTGCGGGGGGGGGCGCGACCACTGGCGCCGCCGCTTACGGTGTTGGCGTCAGCGGAGGCAGCAGCACCAGCGGGTTCAGAAGCAGCCAAGGTCAGGGCCAAGGCCAAAGCCAAGGCCAGGGCACCACCAGCCTCGGCATGCTCGGCGTCGCATCCGCATCCTCCTCTTCCCTCCCTTCCACCGGCTTTGCTCCCGCTCCCCACAGGGTCGACAAAGGGGCCATCAGACCCGGCGCGTCTGCTTCTGCCGCCGCTGCTACGGCCGCCGCTGCTATCGCCGCCGCCGCCGCCGCCGCTGCTGCTGCCGCTTCCGCTGCTGCTTCGGGTGGCAAGAGACCCGCCCCCCCGGGTCTGCCGCAGCTCTCGATCAACGTCCCAGCTCAGGGCCCCGGCGGGGAGATGTCCAGCGGGGCGTCATCGGCGTCGCGCAAGGGAAAGGGAAAGGGAAAGGGGAAGGGTGTTAGCGGTGGCGGGGCGGACGCGGGCGGTCAGAAGCGGGCGAAGGTTGCCAACGGATTGGAGGGGCACAATGAAGGGACCGGTCAATGCCTTGCTGCTGTGATGAACCACGGCTCCACGAAAGCCAACACCGGCCACCTTAACAACGGCGTCGGCACCGGCGGCGACGGCGTGACTCCGCCTCCCGGGGGATTCCGGGTCGGGAACGCAAAGGTGGCCGGGAGCCATCCCCGCGCCGCCACTCCGACGCACTCCGGCGGCGAGAAAGGTGGTTCTGGCGGCGGCGGCGGTGCTTCAGCGAGTGGAGCGGCCGGCGGGGCGCCGCCTGACTCCGAGCGGACGGGTCACTCCGGAGTGAAGGGGAAGGGGAAAGGGAAGGGGAAGGGGAAGAAGCGGTCTCCTTGGGGCGGGAAGGACTGGGCCGGGAAGCCCGCGTCCCAGGCGGTCAAGGACGACCTCCTGGCGGAAGTCTCGCTGTGGAGCGTCGCGCAGGATGGAACCTTGGTCGGGGAAGACGGCAATCACTTCTTCTGCAGGTGGGTGAAGATATGAGGGGGNNGAGGGGGGGGGCAACGGAGGCGTGTGACTCTTATTGATTCTTGCTAGCATCGAGGGCGGTTGTCTGCCTTGTGTGTGGAAGTGCGTGAGGGTCCGCCGACCTTGCGCCAAAGTGTTCTCCCGCTTACCAGCAGCCTCGTCGCTTGGGCGTCGGCAGAAACATGTATTATCGACTCTAATCATGTTGTCAACCCTGGTGTTTCTTTCGATTTTGGCCCTTGAGGTCTTCCCCGCTTCCTTCCTTTGCCCCTAACCCTTCTCTGCTTCCTCCCCCTACAACACGCGTGTCCCCCTTCCCGGCGCTCCCCAGTGCTTGCGGCGAGTCCGGCGACCTCACCTGCTGCGATGAGTGCCCCCGGGTGTTCCACGAGGAATGCCTCCCGATCGGCACGGATAGCCACCTTGCCGCTAACCGCCAAACGGAGGAGGACCCGTGGTACTGCCCGTCCTGTACCGACGCCGGACGGGTCAATCTGATAGCCGGGGTAAGCCTGAGTTGATCATCTGTGGGGGGTTGTGGATGTATAGCAGCGTCGTATTTTTTTTCGCCCCGTACAAGACCTTTCCTACGTCAGGTATCTACACCGAAAGGTGAGTAAACTGGTGCCAGAATAGATGAGACGAACACACGCACACCATAAATTTTTCTCTGGCGCCAGCATCCCGGCACATGAAGACGGCCAGCCGAGTTTCCGAAGGAACGCTTGCCGGGAGGAAATTACTTCACAGATTTGTCTCGACACGGGGCCGCACACAGATGCACAAGCACGGCGCCGAGTCACGGAGACAAGCCTCAATCCGAAGTTCCTACAGCCATTGTGCCGTACGCGCTAAAGACTCTCGCGCTGCCTCCCTGCTGCAAGGCATGCCACGCTTGCGGTCCTGAGGGACATGTTTCGTGTTTGAGACCTACACTACCGCCACACGCTGTCGTTTCAGTCGTTCGACGTTTGGTCCTTCTCCTCTGCTGTATTGTATAGCCCGCGCGCGTCCTCTCATCCCAACGACCCGGGAAACAAATGGCGCAAACCTTTCGTCGGATGCTTCCCCCCCCAAAAAATCGAGCAGAAAGAGCCTAACTGGACCCCGGAGGATCGCGCGCAGATGGCCAAAAGCGAGGAGACGAAGGCGAAGAAACCCCACAAGGCCAAAGGCGGCGAGCTGCAGCGGGAGAGATCGTCGTCTGTGACGACCTCACCGCTGCTGACGAGCCCTGAAAAGAAGACCAGGTGCAAGAACCCGAAGCGCGCGGCGGCGGCCGCGGCTGCGGCTGCGGCCGCGGCGGCCGCGGCGGAGGCGGCGGCGCAGGCGGCGGCGCAGGGGTACTCCACCGTGCCGCTGACGGTGGTCAACGTCAACGACGTGGTGGACCCGCCGCGCGAAGTCAGCCGAGTCAAGGTCTTCTCCCCCGAGCTGGACAACCTCCTCCTGCGGTCCCTGCTGTACGAGGAGAAGCACGTGCACATCCTGACGAGGAACGTCGCCAAGAGGCCGAGGCCGCGAAACCGGACGCCTGCTCATCAGCAGAAGGCCGCCGCCCGCGATGGCGGCGGACCCCTGGACCTGGGACGGAAGGAGGGAGGGGTGCCTCAAACGACGGGCAGCGTCCCGGGAGACGGCGAAGACGCCAGCAACCGGCGGGGGCGGACGAACGGCAACAAGAGAACGGCCGACGAGGAGCTCGGAGCGCTGGCGGCGCACCTTCCCATCTCGCCCCGAGCCGGGAAGAGGCCGAAGCACCACGCCTACACCGACAAGCGGAGGCTCGGGGCGCCCTTCGCCGGAGCGCTGGGCCCGGGCAGGGTCTTCGACGGCACAGCGGTGAGCTTCGGCGCTCGCGCGACGGGACCCTTCCGCGCCGGCCTGGCGGCCACCATGGTAGAGATGGGGCTCGTGCCAAGCGAGGTAGCGACAGAAGCTGGGTACCGGGAGCTCGCCAAGGAGGAGCGCGCTCTCACCCGACAGGTCGAGAAGAGGGACGCGGCGGCTGGGGCGGAGGGTTCGTCGAGAGTTTTCGGTTCTGCGGGAGATGACTGGCGGTTGCGCGTGCCGTCGTCCGACCTCAAGATTGGCTCGTCAAGCTGGAAGTCTCAACCGGCGGAGAGCAGCATTGAGGAGGAACAACCAGCGCGGAGAATAGATACGCCGCGCGGAGCGAGCAAGAGCGGCGGCGACGGCAGCGGTACCAGCGAAGGCTTCCCGGCGAAAGATACCGAGACACCGCGCGATGGCGGCAGCAGCAGCGCCGGTGGCCGGCGGCAGACCCTAGACGGCGGTAGGGTGAGCGACCACATGGACGTGGGCGGGGACGAGAGCAACGGGGTGAAGCACGGCGCCCGAGGGTCCGGGAAAGGGCCGGGTAGCGGCGGGTCGGGGGGGAGTGGTCATATTCACGTCCGCCGACCCCCCTCGTCGAGTGGCAGCAACGACGGAGGAGCCGGCGGCGGTGGCGGCGGCCGGCCAGCACGGCAGGAAAAACAAGACGACGCGCCACCCACTGCGAAAGCAAGCACTGCCGGCGGCGGCGACCGCGAGAAAGTCACTCTCGGGAAGAAAGACCCCCTGCGCAAGGAGAACCGCATGTGGAACCTGAAGCATATGCGAGCGACCCAGGAGGGAAAGATGGACGTGTGCGCGTACTGCCGCTTGCACCCGGACGGCGGGCTGATGGTCTGCTCCAGCCAGGAACTGGCGAAGATGCACTCCTTCTGCTTCCCGTGCCTGAAGAGGAAGGACGGCATAGAAAAGTCTGACCTCGTCGGGGGCGGCATCAAGGTAGCATGTGGGCTGAATGCTGCGTTGCCGCCTGGTGTGGTCGATTGTTCTCTGTCTGGTCCCCTCACCCCCCACTCCCAACCCCCCCTCTCCCTTTCGCCCTCGCCCAGCTCATCGGCTGATTTTTCGTTTTCTTGTCATGCAGTGTTTTATCGTTCAGGTTACCGTGGTTGCGTCTTGGTTGGTGTTTTGATCTTCGGTTTGGCGTTACTTTGATCGTCCCCTTCGGCAGAGTTCGGTGTTGGACTGAAATGGAAAAAGTGAAACGTCATCGACATCAAGACTACCCTCGCCCATAGAGGCGGCATATAATTGCAAGACTTGTGCACCCTGGAACCAAACACATTAAGATGATTCTGAATCGAGGTTTCCCGGCTGTTCACATCAGTGTTTTCGATGACCAAATGTTCCACTCGAGTTCTTCTCGACCCCAACTACCTCTCCCCTCCCCTCCCCCCCCCGTCCCCGATCATTCTCGTGGTATGCCCAGTGGGAGTGCCCCACGTGCCGGGTGCGAAGGTCCCGCCCAAAACGCGGCGCCGGCCCCCCTTCTTCGCTGCGCGGGACGACGTGGGCAGGAGGCGGAGGGTTGACGAGCCAGGGCGTTGTTTCGCAGCAGGGGAACGGCCAGCAGGTGTCTGTGGCGGGCGGGCGTTCCAGAGAGCCAGAAGGCGGGGCGGCGGGCTCCGGGGGGGGACACGCGGGGATAAAGCGGCCGTCGTCCTCAGCCGAGGTATGGCGAAGGTTGTGCTAAACACCGATTTGTGGGGTGGCTGTGTACGATGTCGGCGAGTCGGAGGGGACGTGCATGTGGAAGGACCGCGTTTTGTTACTCGCTCATGCTTTCCTCCGCCACAGGCACAAGCAAGCAAGCTCGCTGCAAAGCTCCAATACCGAATGCGTCGTCATCTTTAGAGAGGGTCTGGGCTAAGCTAGTTGTCTAAGACCTAGCCGGCGTTAGCCGCCTGTCAACCTTTCTGCACGCAGGCACTGCGAACAGACCTCTCCGTAGCTGGCGAAACAGCAGTTTTGGCGAGAGGCTGAGGGAGCGATTGACCCCCCCCCGCGCCCCTCTGGCTTGGCATAGCAAACGCCAGGATGATGACCAGCTTCTCTTATTCGTCCTCATGAAACGTAGCCTGGGCTGGCCAAAACCCGGCATATCGCTCCGTCCCGGGATGCGAGGTCAATGATCTAATGACCCCGGCATGCGTTTACAGGAGTACACCTTCCCCCTCGCCCCGTCCCGCCGTGTTGTGTTGTTGTCGTTGTTGTGGTCGGCCGCCGTCCCTAGCTGTCGGCGGCGGCAGCCGCTGCACGGGAGAGCGAAGCGCGTCGCCAGTCTGCCTCCCCTCCCGCTTCGAGGGGGGCCGCCTCCTCTGGCTCGGCAAGAGGAGGTGGGGGCAGCAGGGAAGGGGATGCGTTTGGCTTCCGCCGAGATGCTTCTCCCCGCGGAGGTGGCACCAGCAGCAGCGGCGGCGGCGGCGGCGGGGGCGGCACCTCTCGTGGTGCCGTTGGCAACGGTAGCGGCGTCAGCGGCGGCAACATGTCCCGGGGGACCGGCGCCGGCGGCAGTCGCCTTGACGTGGAGACGGAACCACAACAAGAAGAACAAGAACACCTTGACGGCCAGCTGCCGATCGAACGGCGGCGCCTGCTGCGCATGGTGGCCACGCTCGCGCTCGACCGTCTGCAGCAGCTGGACCCGCTCAACCTGTTCAAGGACCCGGTGCCCGACGGCGTAGAGGGGTACGCGGAGGCGATCGAGCACCCGATCGACTTCTCGACCATCCGGCGGCGGTCGCAGTGGGAGCTGTACGGGTCGATCCACGAACTCGCCCTGGACGTGCAGCTGCTGTGCGCCAACGCGAGGACGTTCAACGGCCCCGGCACCATCTACCACGAGGAGGCCACGTAAGTTTAGGGGGAAAAGGGGACGTGTTTTTGCGTATTCTAGATATCGTAGGGTACGCAAGATGCTAAACCCCCTTTGTTTCGAATCTCGATTTACTCTGCAAAAGAACAAGCGGTGACGACGGTGAAAAATGTGGTGGCTTGGGAGCCGTCTCGTCGAAAGCTTTCCAAACACGTGTATCAGTGATTGTGGCATCCTCTTGGTCTTGGCGTAATCGAGCTTTGAAGATCGGTCCAGGGGGCATGCAACCTGGTTGCGTGTGCCTTTTTGAGCGGATTGCCTGCGTGTGGGAGTCATGTTTTGTCCACGCGGTAGGACATCGGTGGCACCTTGAGCATATGCGTTGTCGACTTAGAACGGGACCTGAGGGAGAAAGATGCGGTGTCTCCACAGTCTCTGTTCCTATCAAATGTCTCTTGCCTAGACGTGGTCAACCCGAAACTACCCTCCATCGTTCCGCACGAAGCCCCCACGGCCTTCAACCCCCCCCCCACACCCTCGCTTTCCCCCCGCCGCCGCTGCCGCTGCCCACGAACAATTCACGTTCCACTGGAAACCCAGGAACGTTCTCAAGGGAGCGGAACGGATCTGGCCCCAGGCGCAGGCCCTGCTGGACCGCCTCACCTCCGCCGAGACCGAGGCCTCCCGGCACAACATTATGGGCCCGGCCGCCTCCTCCGACGCTTGGCCTCTCGACGGGCCATTCGCCGGATTCGAGCTCACCCCGGCCAACGAGGACGCGTACTACATGCACGTGGCCATCAGGCGCGCTTCCGCGGCCGCTCGCGCCCGCGCGGAGCAGGAGGCGAAGGAGGACAAGGAGGAAGGTTCATCCGCCGCGGGCAGCGGAGGGGGCAAGAAGAAGAGGAGATCGGAGGGGGAGTTGGCGGCCCGCCGGGGGAGGGTCGAGGCGGCGGTTGAGGTGGCGGTGGCGGTGGCTTCGAGCCCGGCGCTGCTGTACACCCGCGGGGAGATTGGCGAGGAGGAGAGCGCGCTGAGGGAGTCGCTGTCGCTGTACAGGACAGACTGCACCGATAAGGCTCTGAGGTGGGTGTAGCCAAGACCACGCGCGGAGCGAATGTTTTTGTTTTAGGCATCGCGAGACGAAAGTGGCGGTCCTGGCCGTAGGCTCAGGAACGTGCGTGGTTGCAGCTGTTGCTGATCCACAGGCTCCAGGTTGGGAAACCTTCATGGCCGCGTTGTGTACCGTTCGATTGGGGAGTGTTGTCAAGCAGAGTTGGCGGAGGCGTGTTTCGACGACCTCTCACTGGAGCGACTAATTGACGCGAGTGCTGACGAGCTGGAGCAATTGTTGGTGCGAGTGTTCCGTGTGGGGCGTGTTTGTATCGATTCTTTATTTCTTACCCTCTCCCTCTCTCCCCTGCCCAACCATCGTAAACACGACGCCCTTCAGAAGCCGTAACACCAAGTGCTGCCTCAATTACGTATGCACAATCTATCAGCGGGGAAGCAGGAAGGCCGTCACAACGCACAGGTGATCATGTCTCATACTTTCATTCCTTCGCCGTGGCGCCGCCTTGATCACAGCCCCCCACTCGCCGCCTTCCTGCCTGTTCGCACTTGTATCGAACCAGGCGACCGGTTGGGAGCGCCAAGTGTGAACCCATCGACCTCCCCACGTTGCACAAGCGCAGGGCGTACACGCTTCCCATGCCAACTCTGATGACCCGGCAGTTCGCTGCCCCGGACGGAGAGTTCCTTGCCCAGTCACCCGAAGACCAGCTGGTAAATAATCCTCACGCTGCTCGCACGGACTGTTGCATGCGTCCAAATGGGGAGTCGATTGCCTGTCATTGTAGGACTACTTTGGAGGAGTTGGCAACGTAAATCACGGCACGGAAGTTGGCATTTCACGAGATGAGTCGTCGAAGGCCTGGCTGCGAGGCAGCGAGCCAAGGCTTTTGTAGCTCTCGAGCATCAAGTTACCATGGTGTGCACACCGGCACGGGTCGAATCATGACCCCACGCCCCGCTGCCGTCCACGCCTAGTCTTCACTCCTGAACTCCTATATGCCCTCGGCCAGGTACCCAGTGGCCCCAATCCCAGCCTTGGGGAGGAGATCAAGGTCGAGGCTCCGAAAGCGGTGGTTCCCGAGTGGAAGGTGCTGCAGGCGGCCCACGGGGCGAGGGAGCGGAGCGGGGAGGAGGCGGGGCGGCACTTGCGCGCGTTCCGGGGGTTCTTGAAGGAGATCGCCGTCGTCTCGAGGACACGCCTACGCTTGGGGAAGTCGACCATACAGGTGAAGACGGGGGTAGGAGGGGGGGGGCGTCGGGTAGGAGAAAGAGCCGGGCTTCGAAAACTCGCCCGTCTGCGGGTACATCCATGCCATGTTTCTGTTTGCACGGACGGACTGTTGTGGCGGCGGTAGTTGTTGCACAGCAGCAATGAACAGTTATTCACGCTGACCCTTGAGTTTCACGATAACTCGAGCTATGCGCAGACTATCTGCCGTTCGTGATATGCATACGCTGCTCGCGTGCCTGACGCGTGCCGTGCCACCTCCCTCTTTCGCGGCTACCGTATTGCGCCGGCCCGGCTGCCTCCCTTGCCTGTAATTGTTGTCACGACAAACGTTGAAAATCACAACAAAAGGGGTTCGGCGTCTTCACCACCCAAGCCATCGGTGCCCATGAGCTGGTGGCCGAGTTCGTGGGGGAGCGCATTAAGCTCGACGAGGCGAAAAAGCGAGTCAAGGGGTACCGCCGGACCAACACTCAGGTATGATGTCGAGCGAACGACGCACCTACTAAAGCCATCAACATGTGTTCGTCATGATGGGTAGCACAAACACATTTTTGCAGGTTTTGGCCACTGAACACCGTGGGCGCCTAGGATGGAATTGCTGTGGAGGTGACCAGCGCCTATGTTTGGGCGCACCAGTTCTGCGTTTCAGTTATGATTCCCGGTGCCGTCGCACACGCCCAAGCTCGCTTTGGCACCATTCTTTTGGGGCGGCGGTCATCCACGCTATTTACGTGTTCTCAGCTGTTGCCCTGAGCGGCGGCCTGTGATGCGTTGTTGCACGCAAGTGTTGACATGCTCGGCATGACGTTTTCCGAAAACGGTAAACCTCCACGCCGCACGTACGCACAGCTAAGGTACTATGGCTGTTTATATCCTAACGCTTAAACAGGTACCTAATCCTGCCGCAGCGGCACCAAGCGTAGATAAGTGCTACCCGCCAACGTGGTGAGCACGTCGTGGGTGGGCGAACAGCACTCTTCCACGGCTATTCGTTCTTAAGGTGGACAGGCATGGCCATCAGAACCCCCCCCCCTCCCTCCAGTAACGCCTCTCCTCGTGGACTACCGCGCCCTATCTCTTGCTGTTATGATCTGCAGGAACGCGTTGTTCGCTTCGGCGAGGACGAGATGTTCATCGACGCCACTCGCAAGGGAAACCTCGCTCGGTTCTTGAACCACTCGTGCGACCCAAACGTCTACATGCTGGCGGTGAGCACCTCTTCAGATTTTGTAACCGTTCACGAGATAGTTGTTGAGCGCAGGACCATTAGGTCGTGTCAACACACTCACAAGGGGTACATGACGTATTTGGAAACAAATCGACTCCTGTTGCGGTAGCAGTGGTGACAGAGCGCGTCCAGGAGGATGGATGGCACGGCAGATTGGAAGACAGGGGGACGGGGCACGCGAGACCTCCCCGTAGAGCAATCTCTCACAGTCATGTGGGTGCATTCTCGAACAAATGGTTGATTTACGTAGCACGGGGTCGCGGACAAATTCCGCCTTTTACTGCCGCGCTCCGGAAGCTCACCCCCTGCGTCGCCGAGTCGCGTAAACGATTGCGGGAGGCTTTGTCCCGAGAAAAACTCGTCGCTCCCCGCCACGTGGGGCACACACGCACATGCCTTTTTCCCCGCTACGAGCACACAAGCCTTCCTGTTGGAGAAAAATACTCAGCTCGTAGAAATGACTCGAACCCGGCCAACATCTACCCCTGTGCTTCTGTCTGTTGTTGTTTCCTGCCGCAGGTGACCGCGGGCAAGGGGGACTCGCAAGAGAAGCGCGTTTGCTTTTTCTCCCTGAGGAAGATTCCCGCTGGAGAGGAGCTCTTGTACTCGTACCCGGCCCCTCACACCGTCGGCCTAGGAGGATCGGCGGTGGCCATGGAGTGCGCTTGCCGGGCGCCAGGGTGCCGCGGGCGCCAAAGCAAGAGAGAGGACCAGCTTTAAGAGAACGCGCGTTCTTTTCTACCCTTCTCTTTCTTTTTTTTTCGGATGGTCTTGTCAGGCAAAAGGTTTTGTGTCGTCGTCTGAATCGAGGCAGAGCCATACAAGCAGGTTCTCTCTCTGCGTGTGGTTTCTTGAAGGCAGGAGGATCGCGTCGGGTGTACTCTACGAGACCATGGGGCTACTGCTGCGTGCTGCTGAACTTTCTAGTTGTGCTCTGTGCTGCAGAGCAGCTCAACAATAGAAGTTCGTACTGCTGTGCTCTTGGGTACCACTGAAAGGAATTGCCTTTCAAGCATGAACATGGTCGGGATAGACAGTCCCGACCGGTGTAGCTTAAAAAAAAAAACGCCCAACAACATTCCAATTTTTTCTGCTGATTGCAACCGGGCATGTAAGATACGGGGAAAGGATCGGGCCCGACTGTGTTTCCACAGCAGTCAGGTCCAAGGGTGGTTCGAAAGCAGTTGTTGTAATAGATAGCCTGACAATACTCGATACGAGAACCAGTCGACGAGTATTCTCGGTGTCACCCGGCGGTTGTCGTCATCGGTGCAAGCTCTCGGCGCGATAAGAGCGTGAGAAGGATGGGCGGGTGGGGCCCCTCAAAGTAAAAAGAAACCGTGTGCAGCAGCCAGTAGTAGGGTAGAGGGACGACCAACCTCCCCCTCTGGGTTAAGCTAGCGGGCGCCATACGTAAGAGAACATAGACGATTTTTTATGTGTACTTGCACGCTTTTTTTGTGTGTTCGCTTTATGGTCTCCGCGTGGTGTTGTGATTTGTATCGTCATCGGATACTACCGGTGTTGCCTTTTGATTAAGGATAACAGGGCAATTCCGATGCGGCGGAATGATAGTGATTTGTATTGTCTACCGGTGTTGCTGTTTAACTAAGGATAGCAGGGCGATTCCGATGCGGCGGAATAGGTGATTTGTATCGTGGTCGGATACCTCCGGTGTTGCCGTTTGATTAAGGATAACAGGACGATTGTCCGATGCGGCGGAATAGCGCGGTGGGGGGCCCCGTCACTTATCATTTAGCAGGGGCTCTCGTGGTACTGATTTTTAGTGTTCGGTTTCGTTCTATGAGATCATGTGTGGAAGTATGTCGCTTTTGGGCAGTAGTGAGGAGGGGGGCTAACTGTGGTTGAGGTGTAGACCGACGGCATTCCGTAAAATGGTTCTTCTGAAGGAGAGTGCACGAAGTCGGACGATTGCGTTAGTGTTGTTTTGTACCGGCGAGTGGTGGGCTCGTCTTGAAGTGTTGAATCGATTCTGTACCTTGAAACATTAGCTGGGGATGATGGTAGCAAGCAGATGGTGCGGTGCGCGTAGGCGGGTTGAGGCGGCGGCGGCGGCGATGGGGAAGGGGGGGGAGGTGAAGGCATCATCACAACAGGGGAGGGGGGAGAGAGATGTGCTTATACGTGCTTATACAGGATTCGCGTGTACTTTGGCGGCTTGGAAGATTCGCAGTTTCGGACCCACACGACACACCATAACGTCACCATATCAAAAGTCGGTTTGAGTAGTGTGTGTGTGCTGGGACCGAGAGGTGCTGCTGCTGCTGCTGCTGCTGCTGCTGCTGCCTCCGCTGTTCTTGGTCTCGACTCGAGTCCTTTCGTGTCGGGTGGCGTGCCCTGGACGTTGACATGTCCTGTTTTTGCACCAAAGCTCTCGCAGCCAGAGAACCCAACGAATCATTTGCTCTAGGCGCACACACCTCTGTATCTGTTCGCGTAGCTGTAGGTTCGACATGTCGACGCTCGGAAGGATGTGCCTGTTGAAGCTGTACGGGAAAAACAAGAACAAATCCCACGCTTGATGTCTTAACGGAACGTCAATCCAACTAATTGCTTAAACTTTCTATGCATACAGGTAGTAATCCCCCCCGTGTCCCACAAACAACGCTACCATCACACTATACCATCTTTCATACAACCCGCATCATCAATCGACAGCAAATACGACACATTGACTGCAGCAGCAGCAGCAGCAGCAGCATAGCCGTGGCGGCGGCGACACCAAGTCCCGAGAATGTGCCAGGCCAGCGCCACCCACAGCTTACAAGTACCACCACGAGCACCACTGCCTTCCCGCCTTCCCGACAGCCAAGCAGCACTGCGAAAAGGAGCTATCGTAACACAAATACAACAACGAGACAGGCGGGCGAAAAATACACAAGCACGCGAACAACAAGGCGTGAGCACACGAACAAACGAAAGGCGTACCCACCGTCTACTGCACTGTCGGCAGAATACTCACTACACTCAGAATTGTGGCGCCAACCAATCAAACGAAAGGCGCGCGGCCCTAGTCAAAACGAGCTCGTCCACCCGTTCTCGACGATGGCTGCGTTCAAACTCTCCATGATGCCCGGGGACACCACCATGAGCTTTTTCCGGCCGGCTAGCCCGCCACCGCTGCCGCCGCTACTGCTGCCGCCCCCGCCGCCTCCCTCTTCGTCCTCCCCCCCTAGCGGGCTACTCCACAGCAGGCCCTGCTTTGCGTTGGCGAACTCTGCCATGCCTCGGAAAGCGTCGCGGCTGGCATATGAAACGTCCACGAGAACGCCGTCGCGGTGTTCCATGCGATCTCGCTCCCGTTCCCACAACAGAACCTGAGATTTTTTGTCAAGTTTTTTTCATGCGCATGAGGAGGCGATTCAGGTGACCATAGCGCCGAACGGCCACGTTTTGGGATCGCCTCTCTTTACCCTCTTGGTTGTGGGATATCGTGGTTGCTATTGGTTGGTTAACGAAGACTCCAGGTTCCGAAACAACCAACCTGCCTGTAACAACGAAGTAACCAATCACCCGCCCACCGATCAACAGACAGAGATTGACAGAGAACTCGCGTTAGGCTGAGGCTTGACGCTCTCGTCCAAATCTCCGCCGCAGTCACCCTATATGGAGAACGCCCACAGATCATAAAAGTCTGTTCCTACTGTTTCGTCGTGCCACGACACTGAAGCCTTTGGTCAGGAGGATAGCGCGGTTCATGCTACACCAGTTGCCCCTGCTTTGATGACACTCATGTTTTTTCTGAAACAACATTGTCCGTCAAGCGGGGAAATCGCCTCAAAGTTTACACACACCCGTTTGGTATTATGCGGGGTACCTTACTCCTGGAAAACGGTCAGTGTTCTTAAAGCGGAGGATGTCCTGAAAGGCTGGTGCCCTTCAAAAGCGGGGACGGTCGTACTTCAATGAGGCACACACACACACACACATACGCACGCGCACGTGCACCTGGTCGGCGATGTTCTCCGGCACGACAGGCGTCCGTCTCCTCACGACCGGGTGGGCGTGCCACTTGAGGAAGTCGAGCACCTGGCGGCCCTTGATGCCGGTCGACAGGGCCTTCCGCATGCTCTCTCTCGTGATGGCTCCCACGATGGCGTTCGGCAGCAGGGCGCGCAGCTCGAGGAAGAGGCTGAGCATGGCGAAGTGGAGCTTCGACCGCGTGTAGGCGATCACCTTCAGGGGCAAAGGAAGGAGGGGGGGGTACCCATGTTTTGCATCCCTTAGTTGTTAGGCCATTGGCCACGTGTCCTCGAGAGGACAGAGCGGGGGGGGGGGGG